AGAACACACACACACACACACACACACACTAACGCAGAGAGATTTACGTTTCGTTTGATGTCCAGAATACGTCTCAACGAGGGTTCATTCTCGTGATCCTAAACCCACATTCTCGTAATCCCTGACCTATCTCCTCGTATTCCAGACGTCTTATTACAGGGGGCGAAAATCAGAGCATCGACAGGGAAGAACATAGAGAGGGCGAAAATTTGATTGCTTATTAGTGTGTATTCTTTGAATACACACAGAAAACGTGGTGTTACGCGTAATGCGTGCATGGGAGGAAGCAATTTTTGATGGGTTTCTACGCATTGGCTGTTTGAAGATTTTATCTTGGGGCCTGACTGCCTACAATTCAGGAAATGGTGTGCATTTTCACTTGTCTTTGTTCTATCGTTTTTGCTTCTTTAAGTTTGACATCTTCGATTGGTTGTTTATCTTTGATCCTACAGTGACGAGCTAAACGTGATAATTCGGTCAGAAAGTTGAGCAATTAAGTTTTGGTATTCTAACTGTTATTGTTGATGAACTGGTTTGATATGAGAAAAGGATTTGTGGCTAGCATTGTTCTTTTTTTTTCCCTTGTTAAGTTCTTCATACTGCATACTTTTTGTGTCATGTTTATTTGTTATTGGGGCTTGAAAATGAATCAAATTTGAGAGCAATTAGTCTGGGCAAAAGAATGGACTCCTTAATCGATCCTGATTATAGTATTTCTTGTGTCTTTTTAGTATAAGTGAAAAACGTGGGGGGTGGATTCATTATGTTTATCACTATCATGAGGGGATTGCTCCAAACAATTTCCTCTAGTTGTTTGTGTTTGTTTTACTTTGTGAGGATGTAGTAGAGTGTTTCATGTGAGAGAAACGTTTATTATATGATCATTAAGTGTGATGGATGCAATGTCAATATCATTAAGGATTAATGGTAGGAAAGCTTGTTTATATGCAAAATATGTTGGGTTCTAGATGGCAGAAACGCATGCATGATGGGTGTAATAAGTAAACGGGAACTGGAAAAAGTTCTCATTTGTACAGAACTCTTTTGAAGACTTAGGAATTTTAAATTTATATGTAGTGCAATCAGCTTTAAGATGGCTGAAGTCTGCCTGTTTTATGCAAGTGAAATTGTCATGGAACTTAAGACACAAAACATTGAAATGATGGTTTCTAAACGCAGATGAATACTATGGTGAGGAGTAAGTTGAAGCGGCATGTAAAATTGAATTTCGAAAACAATATATTCATGGTGTTAAAGACTTAGTAAATCAAGGTCATTTGTGGCTTCTACACGTTTCTTGCAACCACGTAGTTTTCATCTTCTATGCACACGGACAAAGGTGGTTAACTCTTGTGAAGCCATACAATCAGTGTCGGCTAGAAAATTCAATAGAATCATAATGATGTATATTTATTTTTCCTACTCAAATGTGGGCTCAACTTTTCGCTTGTTTCAGAGACGACTAAATTTGCTAAATGTAGCTTCATTTACATTTTCATGATCTGTGGTAACTAATAAAATGTTGATGTTAGACTCTGGGTAGAATAGAGTGATTTATTTTGCTTTTGAAACAGATTGAGAATCTGTATTTTACGTCCTTCAGATAGCTTCTTCATATATTGGCTAATAGTTGGCTAACTTGTCATTCAGACTGTATCTGCCAGTATAGCTGTTGGATCTCAAGTGTGGGTAGAAGATCCTGAGGTAGCTTGGACAGATGGGGAAGTTGTGGAAGTTAATGGTGACGAGATCAAAGTATTTACATCATCGGAAAAGATAGTAAGTATTTCATTTTGGGATTCTGATATGTCTAACATATAACATATGGTGTAATCTATTATGTTTTTCAAATTTTTTTCCCCCAGTAGAACTCTTTCAATAATTCGCCTAAATTTCTTTCTTCAAATGGTTTTAGTTGTTTAAATTTTGTATGTCTTAACTGTGTGACATTTTGTGATTCCTAAATACCTAGGGTCCTAGACATCAAATGGGATGCTGCAAAATTCACCATAATAAGTTCTTAATTCTTAGTTTTGGTTTACTTTGTTATTGAACAGATTTGTTTCAGACCTTGCTCATCCATTTTACCTGTTTCTGCGAGACGCAGTCATAATGGTGTTAAAATTTTGGATCCTACAAAAGGGTTGTTATATTAGTGACAGATAATCTAAATAAAATCAGTTCTCATTGTTTTTACTAACTTTTACCTTGTAGAACATTGCTGATTTAGCGAATATCCACCCGAAAGATCCTGATGCTCCCCCTTGTGGTGTGGATGATATGACAAAGCTTGCCTATTTGCATGAGCCAGGCGTTCTGTACAATCTGAGATGTAGATATGATGTGAATGAGATATATGTGAGCACTATCTTCCCTCTTTGACTTCCTTCTCTACTTTACACAAACATGAGTCAGGCGTGCCGTGCAATCCATGCTATATTTCTCTGCTCTTCTCCGGATGCATTGCTTTTGTTTGAGATTTATGCTGATTCTTGACGTAATTTGTTTTCCTCTACAACTATTTCTTTTCTTACAAACTTTTACATGCCTTGCTACTGCAGACCTATACTGGTAACATCTTGATAGCAGTGAACCCTTTCCAAAGGCTTCCACATCTATACAATAATCAGATAATGGAAAAATACAAAGGAGTGGCGCTTGGGGAGCTTGGCCCACACCCTTTTGCCATTGCGGATGCTGCTTACAGGCAATCTTTGTTTTCTCGAGGATTATTAAGTAACAACTGCTACTTTTTATGTGTGCCACTAACTACTGGATTCTGCCAAACGAATGCAGGCAGATGGTTAACGAGGGTATAAGTCAGGCAATTTTGGTTAGTGGGGAGAGTGGGGCCGGTAAAACTGAAAGCACTAAGATGCTTATGCAGTATTTTGCGTATATGGGAGGTAGAGTTGCTGCCGAGGGACGGACTGTGGAGCAGCAAGTACTTGAGGTTTGCTTCTGAGCAATACATTTTTTTTATCGTACTATTTTTTGCATCTCAAGTTTTTATTATTAATATTTTTTAATTTGCATGTACGTTTTTGCAGTCAAATCCTGTTCTGGAAGCGTTTGGCAATGCAAAGACAGTGAGAAACAACAATTCCAGGTTAGCCAATTAATGATTTATTGTTCTCACACATATATGTGGTTGTGTTTGTATCTTGATAAAATATCTTTGATTTTGTTTTTTCAACTATAATTTTTACGCTTTCATGGCAGTCGCTTTGGAAAATTTGTTGAGATACAGTTTAATAACAAAGGTAGGATTTCTGGTGCTGCAATCAGAACCTATTTGCTGGAAAGATCACGAGTTTGCCAAGTTTCTGATCCTGAAAGAAACTATCACTGCTTTTATATGCTTTGTGCTGCTCCACCAGAGGTAATATTGTAGAACCTAGGAATATTTCTAATTTATTTCTGATTCTCAATGGACATCATTAGGTGATATTTGGTCTTTCCTCCAAAAGAGGGGAAGGGGGGACAAGATGTAGTAACAACTTGACCTGTTAGCTGCTTCGTTATTGTATCTTATTTTATGTATTTTTCTAGCGACTCTATAAAATTTTAACCATGATAAGTTCCGCATCGACATGTGAGCATTAAAAACATCCACTTGGATCCTTTTACACTTTGCTCCAAATAACAAACTCTGGTTTTTATTCCTGGTTCAGTACTACCCTGAGTTTTCACAATATTATTCAACCAACATGCGTATAGATGCAGGGATGTTGAGGAATTACATTTCACCTCTATAGTCTTCCATTAGACCACCTCTATAGTCTTCCAATCATTACATCTCTGAAAACACTTGCACACTGATTCATCCTATAATCTCTGACACATGTAACTATAATTGTTCTGTAATATTTCACAAGTTTCAACTCAGTAAAGGGTGCGTGTCCTACCCCTGAGTTCTTTGTCTACTCAATTGGATAAATATGATTGGTCCAGTATTATTTGCATCGTCCACTGGTTTATTCTGGCGTTGGTTTGCTCCTCTTAGTCTTTAAAACATCTAATACATTACATATTCTTACCGTCATATTACTTCTATTTTAGATACATGTAATGCCCAACACACGGGATGCTTAACCACCTTCATTTGTAAAGGATGGCCAATTATATATTCATTATAAATACTTTTAATATGTTCAAATTCAAGCAAATACTATACCTGATTACCTAGTCTATATAGTCGCCGGGGGTTATTTGTACTATAACTTTGTAATCAGACAACATAAGAAAATGCTGGTTACAGTAGATGGATCGTACATGTAGGTTGTGACGTTAGGTATGCTATGCTACTATTGTTATTTGTTCACCTTCAACCAACTACTTATGCATAGGATAAAGTACAATGTTTTTGAACATGTATGATTTTCCTTTTCCTTCAAAAAAATTCAATTTGGTTGACCTCTGTGAGATAGAAGAACTGTTCGCAATATTAGCAAATGTAATCATTGTCACGTTCTAATTCGAATGCCGATGTTTGACGGCCAAAATTTATTTTTCTTTCTAACAGGATGTTGAAAAATACAAACTGGGGAATCCTAGAACGTTTCATTATTTAAACCAGTCTAACTGCTACGAACTGGATGGAGTTGATGAGTGTAAAGAATATCTTTCCACTAGGAGGGCCATGGATGTTGTTGGAATCAGTTCTGATGAGCAGGTACCAATATATGGATCCAGTTTGTGTTAACATTTCATTATTTTCAGTGTTAGTAAAATATTCCATTTGCAGGATGCAATTTTTCGAGTTGTGGCTGCAATTCTGCACTTGGGTAATATTGAGTTTGCTAAGGTAAGTGAAAGTGATGCTTCACAACCCAAGGATGATCAATCTCGATTCCATCTGAAGACAGCAGCTGATCTTCTAATGTAAGTTTTTTTCAACTTTATATGTTTTCACATTTTTATTTAAATTTGTGTTTCTGTATATACCGGCTGACTTTTCCGATACTTATGGTGGATTGGTTTAGGTGTGATGAGGAATCACTTGAGGACTCCTTGTGCAAACGTGTGATGATTACTCGTGATGAGACCATAACAAGAAACCTTGATCCAAGTGCTGCTGCACTCAGTAGAGATGCTTTGGCCAAAATTGTTTATTCGAGATTGTTTGATTGGTCAGTAAGCAAAAGCTAATTCATTTGATTGTTCGCCTTTACTGGTTATCTTCATTCAAGAAAACACCTATTTGCTCAGGCTTGTGAACAAGATCAACCATTCTATTGGGCAAGATCCAGATTCAAAATTCTTAATAGGGGTGCTGGATATTTATGGCTTTGAGAGTTTCAAGACAAACAGGTGCTTAACCGGTATGCTTAATCTTCTTCATATTTAGAGGTTAATACCCTGCATGGTGCTGCACAAAAGCCTTTCTATTAACTTATTACGATGGTGACCTTTGTACTAAAATTCAGAAACCCTGTTGTATATTTCATTAATTTCTTTATGCTACTCAGTATCTCAATGATGATCATTCTAGCATGATGTTTAATGGAATGGTTTCCTTTCATCTATTCATTACAATTGTACTATATTTATTTTTCCATCTTGTTTTCTATTTCCAGTTATCTAGGGTTGCAACGAATATGAAGTTTTAGCTTCGATATGCCTGATGGTTATTCTAGAGTGATTATCTCATGTTTCTCCCACTTTCTGTTGCAGCTTTGAGCAGTTCTGTATAAACTTAACTAATGAGAAACTGCAGCAACATTTCAATCAGGTGCACATATGATATTCTGGTCTATTTATCTTAGTAAATGTAGAAGGTTGACATATAAAGATTGAATTAAGTCTCAGAAAGCAGAATTTTTCTTTAAGATGAGATTTTGTATTTTATGGCAGCATGTTTTCAAGATGGAGCAAGAAGAGTATACGAAAGAAGAAATTGATTGGAGTTACATAGAGTTTGTTGACAATCAAGACATACTTGATCTAATTGAAAAGGTTTGCGCGGTATCTGTTTAATAGTCGACTGCAATTGTCTTTTACATCAATTTTCTGAAGTATATCTGTGCTGCCAATTATTTCTTGAACAACTTTAAATTGTTTGATATACCTTTTTCACTTGTGTTGTGGGTTCTACTGTGATCTTAGCTATAACCAACTTATGAGTTATGTGCATTTAATTTCTGTATGTTTGTCATTTTACATCCTGTTAATTATTTTAGGATCAATATCAAACTTGATTCAAATTGTTCCCTTGAGTTTTGAAACTGCGTAAGTGCTAATACAAATTACTTGATTTACTCCATTCACAATGACAAGGATCTGTCTCTGCCACTCTCTTTCCCGAATAAGTGGAAATGTCAAGATTCAAGTCACTAATTTTTTTAAGAAAGCCATTTGTGTTGACAGCCTGCAGTTTACTGTAAAACTATTGAAGTCTGTGCTTATGGTAGTTCAATAAAACCGGCAGATAAAAAGGATTAATGTTTAGTGGGATTGTTTTTTGAGCTTTTCTGTTTGTAATAATTTTGTGGACATTGCTCTGAGCTCAGATTTGTTTTTTTCTGAGGTTGCTTGAATTGTTTTTATATTTGTCTGCCTGACCGCAAAATTTTGATGGCTTGCACATACAGAAACCAGGTGGCATTATCGCTCTTCTTGACGAGGCTTGGTATGTTTTTAAATCTAGTACTTGTGATAGGTATCAAAAGTTTTTGAAAAACATGAAGATTTAAGTGGCTTTAATTTCCTATTTACTTTAGCATGTTTCCAAGATCTACCAATGAGACATTTGCAGAGAAGCTGTACCAGACATTCAAAGACCACAAACGTTTTCTGAAGCCAAAGTTGTCACGAACTGACTTCACCATTTGCCATTATGCTGGAGATGTATGAAACCTCTATGTTCTTCAATGACAATACGTTATAGCTAGAAAATTCTCGTTGCTCCTTGACATGAACTTCATCCTTCAGGCACACTTTGTTTTTGCAGGTCACTTACCAGACAGAACTGTTTTTGGATAAGAACAAGGACTATGTTGTTGCTGAGCATCAGGCTCTCCTCAGTGCTTCAAATTGCGCGTTTGTCTCTGGCCTTTTCCCACCCTTGCCCGAGGAATCTTCTAAAACATCAAAATTCTCTTCCATTGGTTCTCAATTCAAGGTTCACTGCCTTTAACATTTGTATACTTTTTTTTTTTTCATTTTTATTCTCTAAAATTTGAACCCCATATTTTTTGGCTTATACAGCAACAACTGCAATCTCTGCTTGAGACTCTTAGTGCTACAGAACCACACTACATTCGATGTGTGAAGCCTAATAATCTTTTAAAGCCTGATATCTTTGAGAACTCTAATGTTCTACAGCAACTTCGCTGTGGGGTGAGCTTTAGTCACTATTAGCTTATTACATGCGAGGTGCAACATGTCACTATCTATATTATAATTATTTGTGTCGTGAACTGTGAACTGGATTACATTTTCAAGGATGACGGTGTAACTAAAATTGTTTCCAGGGGGTTATGGAGGCAATCAGAATAAGTTGTGCTGGATTTCCAACTCGGAAAACCTTTGATGAATTCATAAATCGTTTCAAAATCCTTGAGCCAAGCATCATAAATGGAAGGTAACCTTACCAGTTTCTGGTAGTGATAACTCATAATTCTCCTTTCACTATTCCTTTAAGATTGCATAACTTTCGCTATCATTCTGATTGTCCTCTGTCCTTACACTTTGATAGCACTGATGAGGTTGCTGCTTGCCGAAGGATTTTGGGGAATGTTGGTCTTCAAGGTTATCAGGTACTTAACAGAATGTATGTGCAGTGTGTGAAAATCTTTGTGTTTTTTCTGTTTTAATCTTATGCAGTTGAATATTTTACATTGCATGTCCAGATATTCGTTGTTTCTTTTTCCACTTGTTTTTAATTAAATGAGATCTTTCAAATATATGGGGTTATGGGAAATCGTAATTGGAGAAAGACATGATCTGTGGAATTGCGCTGCTGGTCCTCTGTCTCTCCGTAATTTGATTAATCTTTTCATTACCCACCTTGGCCCTGATTAAGGCTTTGAACTTTACATAGTGCTTCTACCTTTTTTTGCCTTTTACCAAATCAAAGTAACACTTGTATGTTTTCATTCTCTAGTTGTGGTCGTTCTCATGAAGCTGACATTTGAAATATCCATAATTTTTACAATTCCATAGTTAAATTTTCATATAATGCATTAAAATACAGAGCTAATAAAGGTATATCTCATGACTTCCGGTTTTCCAGATTGGCAAAACGAAAGTATTTCTAAGAGCAGGCCAGATGGCAGAACTAGATGCACATCGGGGACAGGTGCTTGGGAGATCTGCATGCATAATCCAGAAAAAAGTCCGTTCACATTTGGCACGCAAATACTTCATCTTGCTACGCATGTCAGCTGTGGAAATTCAGGCTATGTCAAGAGGTATTCAGTAGTAGCTTGTGGTTCAATTTTTGCTTCTTACACATCAATATTTATGAGAACCATCTCAAAGTGGTCGTAGATATTATTTTACTATCAATATTCCTTCTGATGTGTCAGGACAAGTTGCTCGCCATATTTACGAGCACAAGAGAAGAACAGCTGCTGCTTTGAAAATTCAGAATGAATCACGTGCATTTCTTGCTAGAAAAGCTTATGCACTTCTGTGCTCTTCTGCAATCCTCATTCAAGCTGGACTAAGGGGTATGGCTGCTTGTAATGAACTCCAATTGAGGAAGAAAACAAAAGCAGCTATTGTCATCCAGGTAATTTCATGCATAAAAGAGGTAGTACTGATTCTCAAATGCTCTGCAGTCATTTTGCTTATTTTTACGTGTGTACGACCTTAATAAGCTAACTGTGGTTCCTTGGTGAGGAGTTCTATATATATATTTTGTGAACTTTGCTAAGGAAACTATTTGAAATTTCATTTAGTGGGTCACCTTCTGGCTATCACTATTCTTTGGGATGTTCACTTTAGCTTGGGCAGAAATATTGGCTCTAGTAGTCACCTAACAACTCTTATATTTTGTCGCTTATTATGAAACATGATATGTATTCTATGCTGTGTATGAAGATATGCTCCTGTTCAATCAATAAAAAATGGCAAACTGCCAGCATAATAAAGGACTCCCTCAAGTGTATGTACATAAGTACGGAGTTACTCATTGAGGTTGGGTTTATAGGGGTTGTGTGTCTGCAATGATTAGAGAACGACAAGATTGTAATGACGAATCTTTTCTTTTTTCTTTTCTCTTCCACATTTGATTTCCAATCTTTAGGTCTCATCATCTAATATTATTAATACTGAAGTTGGCTGAGGTTCCCAGTCATTCTGAGGTCTGTCCAAACCTAATAGTTATATTCACGTATCATCATGGGGGTTCAGACGTCAACTACTTTATTTTATACTTCGAATAAATGTCAAGATATAAGAGATTTAAGCTACTGGAAATTGGCAATTCATATTTATGCTTGAAAATTTTTGCTAAGGCATCCGCATTTTGATGGTATGTATTCCAGAGTCATTTTCGAGGTCACTGGGCCTACTCTTGGTATTTGAGGATGAAGAGAGCAGCAGTTGTTGCTCAGTGTGCCTGCAGAGCAAGGAAGGCTCACACAGAATTTAGATTAATTACATTGGTGCGTTTTTAGTTTTTCTTTTTCTTTTTCTTTTTTTAAGCAAAGTAATGAGGAGGGCAGGTATATGTGTGCTTGAACTTATTTAATAATGTCGCAGGTTTACGACAATTGGGAATACAGATGTCTAATTTTATGTAGGTTTGAAAATAAGACCCTTACGAAAGCAATCCAGCTATATCATGGGTTATTACAAATGAATTAGATCCCACTGCTACTCCAATTTTACTTATTTATCACTGAATGTAGACACCTTTCATTTCTCAAATTGAACCCTTAATCAAGTTGAGCTAATATTTCCAGTTCCTTCATGTGTTGAGAATGGCTATCCCCTATAAAGTCAATATTTAGGTTAAAGTATGATATTTTCACTAATATATTGAACTCAAATTATGATTCTGAGTGCCCAAATGTGTTAGAACTGACAATAAAATGGCTTTGTACCTCTGTTCAGGCTGCAAAAGAAACAGGAGCACTTCAAGAAGCCAAAAGCAAGCTTGAAAAGCAAGTTGAAGAGCTAACATGGCAACTGGAGTTGGAGAAACGCATGCGGGTAATATGTTTTCTTAACTTGCTTATGACATTAAAAAATAACAAATATAACAAAAAAAAAAAAAATGCTTTTGACATCAACTCTAATGTGGAAGTTTGTGAATGTCACATCCGCATTGCGGCATAATGTATGAAAAGGGAAAGACGCTGACTAGTTTCTTCACATTGCCTTTTGTTGGTCTATGTTTTCAGGCTGACATAGAGGAAGCTAAAATTCAGGAAACTTCAAAATTACAATCTGCTATGGAGAAAATGCAATTGGAATTTCAAGAAACGAAGAAACAGCTGATGAACGAACTTGAAGCTGCAAAGAAAGGAGCTGGGCAAGTTCCTGTTGTACAAGTTCCTGAAGGAGCTGGGCAAGTTCCTATTGTACAAGAGTTGTCTGTTATTGATCATGATCTGATTGATAAACTAACAGCTGAAAATGAGAAGCTGAAGGTGATTTCACAGAATTTAAACGAAATGTATTTTGGCGGTATCTCTGTTTGCAGCATTTAATAGATGTTGCCCTGAATTGTCTTTCAGAGTTTAGTAAGTTCTCTGGAAAAGAAAATAGATGAAACCGAGAAGAAGTATGAAAAAACAAACAAGCTTAGTGAGGATCGATTAAAGCAGGCTCTAGAATCAGAGTCGAAGATTATTCAATTGAAGACTGCAATGCAGAGGTTGTAATTTTAGTTAATTTTCATCTATAACTTTATTTGAAGGAACTTATTTTTATTATGTCCCTTTGGTTTCTATTTTTTGCACGAAGGCATGTATTTCTTTTAACTATGAGTTCATCTAATAGTCATGTTCCATTATCTTCTACTTTAGGCTTGAAGAAAAACTATCAGACATAGAGACCGAGGACCAGGTTCTCCGGAAACAAGCTTTGCTGAATGCTCCTTCGAGGAAAGTGTCTGGACGCTTTGGTCAGATCCCTCAGGTTGAATGCAGTATTTGCCCTAGTTTTTTCTTCTTATTATTATTTTTTAATCTTTTCTTCCTTTCAAGTTTTGGTTCTTATGATTTACTGCCTTCTGCAGCCTGTGGAGAATGGTGGTCCTGTAAGTGAACTTTTCTAAATGGCAGTTTTGATTGCATTCATATTCTCATTTATATAACATAATCGTTGCATTTTTTCCACCATCTTAATCACGTTATGAGATATATACAGGAATCATTAAGGGCGGCATCTCTTAGAAGATATGGGAGTGTATCTTACGACAACCTAAGGAGATCCCATATTGAAAGGCATCGTGTATGTAAACTTTTTGATGTTCAACTTTTATCTTATTTGCATTTGTGTCTTCTTTGTTTCTGTGGCAGGGCTGGCATAGTATCCAGCCCAAGAGACCAACTGGTTATGAGTGCAATCAGGGTTTAGTTCATCACTGGAATATATATGAAGATATGAAGAGTGAAAAATGATGAGAACATAGAAGGTTAATTAAAATTGTAGCAATGAAAGTCTATCAGCAGAAAAAAAATTGTTTCGTAAGTCGATTTTGACATAAATAGTAATATATATGGTATGGTAGATTTTATTCAACAATTGCCCCAAAGAAAATAGCAATAAATAAGAAATTGCATGAACTTAGATCAATCAAATAAGGCTATTTCTATCCAAGCAATAATTTGCCCTAATAAATTTTAACTGCCCGTTTAGAATGTATATGGATGGAATAATGATAAAAAAACGGAAGAGAGAAAAGAATTTACAAAAAAAAAAAAAAATGGAATTCCTAACAAACTGAATTAGTTCCCCAGAAAATTATAATTGTGGTTGTTCTAGTACTACTTGTGCCGCACACTTGAAAACATGGAAACTGCATTATTTTGGGATTGTTGGGTAATGGTGTGAGGATATACATTACAAGAATATTTACCATAATCACCACGGCTCTTAAACCTGTAAAGACAATTTTTTACATTTATTCATATAATTACCACAAGCAAGATTAGAACTGCGAAAGCTAATACACTGGGGACAGTATATTGTTTTGTCCCTTTACAAGCTTTAACATATAGAGGGAAAAATATAAATTGCAAAAGAGCAAACTAACTAGATATGTAAACTTATTTGTTTGTTTATTTATTATTTTTAGGGAATAAATTTGTTTTAGTTTCATTTCAGGTCCGATATCTTTTTTTATTGATGCTAGTAGTTACTCCTATATTTCCTTCCCTTTTGAGTATCTAACCATTTCCTGCATTTCATTGTTATTCTGTGTTTCAGCCTTGCTTTCAACTCATGACTTGTGAATGAATTTTTCTTGGTCCCAGGAGAATGTAGATAGTCTACTTACTTGCATAGGGCAACTTCTTGGGTTTAGTGAAGGAAAACCAATTGCTGCATTCACGATTTACAAATGCCTTGTTCATTGGAGATCCTTTGAAGCTGAAAGAACTAGCATATTTGATCGGCTTATTCAAATCATTGGATCAGCAATTGAGGTAAGTGTCGGGGTATTTTAACAAATTTGTTCTGTTCTCTTGGCATTCTATATATCATAGTTATATAATGTGTGTATTTTACTATTTGGACCATCGTTCCTTGAAATTTTTTTAGTAAGTAAACGAACACTATCGGTACCCTGTAGAACAGAAAGTCCCAGAAATTTCTTATAATAAACAAAACACCATGTTTCTCAAGTGTACTGGTTTATCACCTTTATGTTTTCAATTCTACACTGTTAACATTAGTACTTGCATGATGTTGCAGGATGAGGCGAACAATGACTACATGGCTTACTGGCTCTCGAATACATCTACACTATTGTTTTTACTTCAACATACTTTAAAAGCTGGTTCTTCAAGTGCCAGCAAACCTCCCCAACCCACGTCATTTTTCGGAAGGATGGCACAAGTACGAATATATTTAGTGGATTGTTCTTTTACGAAATTATAAAAGAAAATGAGTGGGTTGAACCATTTCCGCTGGAATTTGAGTTGGAGAAAGAACTTCACCACATGATTTGTTTCTTTTCCAGGGTTTTCGGTCATCACCTTCTTCTAACAACCTTAGTGTTGCTGGATTGGATGGAATACACCAGGTTGATGCCAAATATCCAGCTTTGTTGTTTAAGCAACAACTAACTGCTTATGTTGAGAAGATTTACGGAATCATTCGAGATAATTCGAAGAAGGAATTGTCATCTCTTTTATCTTCCTTTACCCAGGTTGCACACATCCCTTTTGTTTAGAAATTTAGGTTCCAGCCTTATGCATTTTCATTATTTGTGTGTATCTATTCTAAGTTGATACAATATTGAAATTGTTACATTAGTGACAAATGTGAGTAGGTGAATAGAGAAGTCGGAAAATGTGGCATAATGAAAGTCATTTAATGTTTCTCTTTTCTCAAATAATTTATAACAATTGATTCGCCAGAGAAAAAAAAAAAAA